GATGTGGGCGTGTCTGTGCAGACATACAGATGTGGGCTGTCTGTGTGTGCAGACATACAGATGTGGGCGTGTCTGTGCAGACATACAGATGCGGGCGTGTCTCTGCGCATACAGATGTGGGCGTGTCTGTGCAGACATACAGATGCGGGCGTGTCTGTGTGTGCAGACATACAGATGTGGGCGTGTCTGTGTGTGTGGACATGCAGCTGTGGGTGTGTCTGTGTGTCGACGCTGATGTCTATGGCAGTGTGAACACCTCCACCTATACCTGTATCTATGCAAATTCTCGAGTCTCATCACTCCCGTGGTAGAAGTTTTCTCTGTTTAACAGTAAAAGAATCTGAGGCTCAGCGTGAGATGGCATTTCTCTGAAAGGTAACAGCTGGAGCACGGGTGTGTCTGACTGCAGAGCCACCTCCTTTTTACCATGTCATGTACCCTCTTACATGGTGGGTTACGGTAAATGTATAAGTAGCATTGATCCAGAAGCCCGCATTTCTATAACTTTTAGGGTCGTAACTAAATGTGCATTTCTGTTTAGGAATTTGACGAAGCCAGTGCACAGACAGTGCAGCGGTTACTCTGGGAGGTGGAGGAAATGTTATTTGAAGAGAAAGTGAACCCTCAGACCCAGAGTCTGCTGGCCGAATGCGGGGAGTGGACAAGAAGATCCCTCCATCTGAGGTGGGACCTTGGTGGTGGAAGTTCTCTGGGGTGGGTTTTCGAAGCGCCCACCCCTGGCCTGCCTCGATATGATCAATATATTTGGTCTGAAAGCACCTGCCCAGTTGGAATATGGATGCAGAGTACGGTCCTTCACTGAGAGATCATTGTCTTCTTACGGTGTCTGAGGAAATACTGAGACATTCCAGTACCCAAGTGCCTTTTAATTTGCAAGAAGGAAATTTGGCTCGTCCTGAGAAGGGCATTACACATACAATGAATGCAAGAACGGTGGAGGCCACCTCTTACCTTCACATTCACTGTGTGTGAGCAGCACGTGTCTGTCTTCATCACAGAACACAGCGAGGGCGGGCAGTGATGATGTGCGGAATGGCTGGATAGATGGGTCTTCCCATCTCACCCATTCCTTACGTAGGGAGGAGTGTGTGTTACTTTTTATATCAAAGATGGAGAATATGGATGGGGTAAGAAGGCAAGCTTTTCTTTCGGTCACTCAGCCAATGTACTGGAGGACAGTTTAGCAAAGTTACCTGAGTTCCTCTAGATTCTATCTGGGGAGAATCAATTAGAACACTCATGTAAATGTGGCTGGATTTTCTGGTTACATTCACGAGATAACTTTTACAGAAATCTTGACCAAACTAGAGTTTTTCTTTTTTTCTCTTTTCAATCCTGATAAGTCACCTGCCCTAAAGAGTATGATATGTCCACTAGATACTAGTTGTGGAAACTCACTTTTCTGGGGATGGTCACTCACCAAAAATTTGGGAGCTCAGTCTTACTCTTGTCACTGCTATCTTACATTATTGATAGAAATGGAGGGAAGGTGGGAAAAGAAAAGATTGCCAGGTACATAACCAAGTGTGCATATTTATATGTTTTTCTTCTTGTTATGTTTGTGTTTAACTGTGCATTAGTTAGTATCTATGGAGAGCTTCTATGTGCCCAGTGTTGCCTTAGACACCTAAGTCTGTCATATATGATCTCTAAGCCATTTATCAACCCCGCAAGGTAACCATTATTATCCTGTTTTGCAAGTGAAAGACAAATGAAATTAGCCTGAGAACCTTGCCTGAGACTGAGCCAGTGGAAGAACAATCTGGCCTAAACTCTCAAAGTCACGCTTCTTCTATGATGCGTGATGCTTCCCACGTACCCATACACGCTTCGTATCATACACATGCCTTCAAAATCATTGTTTCCTACTTTTAAAATCCCCAAACCTTTTCCCTTTGTCTGATCAAAAATGTTACTAGCTTCTCTTTGACCTTGCAGAGTGTTAGGAGGACAGCTGACCCTGCCCACTGACGAAGGCGTCCAGCATCTCCAGGGCAGCACCGCTGCCTCCGCGGCCCACAGACCCCCGCTCAGTGCCTGCGGACGCAGCAGCAACATCAGAGAGTATGTTCACATGAGTGACTCTCAAGAAGTATTGTTAGCTGTATTTTAGTTATACTTTTTAATGTTTATCTCATCTACAAGCCTGGGCTCCACCTAGTTTGGAAATTTAGATTCTGATGAAGGGCGGATACAGAGAACAGTTTTTGTAAGAAGCTCTTGATTCTGAATTGATGATAGGCGTATGTGTGTGTCTATAGAGAGATGTGTAATATATGTATATATGGAACACACATGCTCACACGTGGTAGTTACCTTCCACGTTTGTTCCAAAGATGCTGCGAAAGGTGGACTGGGTGCAGGATGGAAACTGCCTCACTGGGATGGATTATAAGCCTCCAGGCAGTGGCAGCAGGAGAAATGAAGCTCTGTCCTGTCATTTCTGTTCACTAGAGGATTTTGATGACTCTATGCCATTCACACGTATCTGGTGTGCCGTGACACAATGCAGTCCTTTCACTGCAACCAAAGAGGGTACAAACTCGTAGAATAATTTAGGCTTTTAAGAAGCCCTTACAATTTTTAATGATGCCTGTATTAAAGTGTTTTTAAGGACATGAGTTTTGTCCAATGTAATATTCAATCGTTTTGGGGGGGATTCTGTACTTTAAAGATAAGTTAAAGATCCGCCATGATCATTTAAGCATTGCGTTCTTGGTGTCCTGTAAACTCCCATGTGGAATCTGTTTTTTCCCCATAGGTTGTGCATTTCTGGCTCTCAGATAGTCCCAGCAGCGCTCTCAGCCTCTGCCCTGCCAGGCCCTGATGGGACGGGGGTTGCTGACCTAACGGCATGTTCATCCCTGGAAGAAGAGGTTTACCATGTGGATGGAAAGATTGAAGAGTATTTCGCTTTTGACAGAAAAGAGGAGTAAATAGAATCTTACTTGACATTGGCCTCATAAAATAATATTAATTTATTTGATGACATTATTGTTATCGTATGAACATTAAGTGTTTTGTGTATTTTTTACTCACCCAGAAGATTTCTGTTCTTTTGAGAGTAATGCACTCCCAGAGCTTTGGGATTCCCAGCAGGCAGCGCCTGTGCGGGAGCAGTGAAGAAGTGCGGGAAGCAGACACGGCTCCTCGCAGTCCTGGTGCTGGGGGCTCCAGATTCCCCATCCCTGGCTGCCCAAAAGGGCCTAAGGAGAGTCCCTGCCTCTGCACTAAATTCATATTTTATTCTTAATCAAAAACTACAACTATTACATGATAAAAATTTGCCCCATGATTGAAAATTGGCATATTAAAAAGTAACACTGATAAAACCAGTCTTAACAAATTTAAGAAGACTGAAATCAAGCATCTTTTCTGATCTCAGTGGTACGAAACTGAAAGTCAGTAACAGGAAGGAAACTAGAAAACTCCCAAATATGTGTAAACTAAACAACCCGCTCCTCAACAACCAGGCAGTAGGTCAAAGAAGAAATCAAAAGGGAAATCAAAAACATAATGAGACAAATTAAAATGGAAACACAACATATTAAAACCAAACTTACGGGATATAGTAGAAGCAGCTCTAAGAGGGAAGCCTATGGCAATAAATGCCTACATTGAGAAAAAAGAAATATCTGAAATAAACAACCTAACTTTATACTTGAAGGAATGA